TTCTAAACACATTTTATTAGTAGCATATTTGATCTCAACGTAGCTGATTTTGACTTTACAAATAAGCAAACGTTGAAAAAAAGATCGACGAAACTGTTAGACTGACTTTAATCGTTTCATGAGACAGAGAGAATATACATTTATCAATACAAGTTACAGAGATATATATAAAATGATATTGCAAGAAAGTTTAATTAGTGCACGAAGTACAGTTGCATTAGTAAAGTTTTTGTTACATGCGTGCGAATTCGACATATAATTTACGAAATTTTGTGTTACTCAGTCATTTATGGGAGGGGCTGTACTTGAAAATTGCATTGTTATTTTTACTCAGAAAGCATGTCGGATTTGTAGTCATTTTCCGATATTGTTTGTGTTTATTATCCAATTTCACTAAGAAAGGCTAATTAAAATTTTCCATATTAGACACTTCTTTATACGGTTGTGAAGAATTTTTGCTGCGTCATTTATTATTGACGTCTATTCTGTAATAACTTCTTATTGTATGTTGTCAGACATGCTATCCTGACAATACAAAAATCACGAAACTTACTTGTATTCATTCGTTAAAACACTATAATTAATTAGCCTTTTATTCGAACACTTCTCTTTATATGGTTGTGGACGTTATAAAATCATATTGCACACATTGCGCGGTTATCAGATCCCATGAGCGCAGATGGTGTAAGCACATGGGGCGCGAGCGTCTAATCGGGGTTTGGAACCTTACCCTTTTGGCTAACTTTTTGTAGAATCTACCCAATAATGAATGCACGGCATGGTAGAGCACAGCACCAAATAAACCAAACACTTTCTTTTTCTTGGAAAGAGTAAAGCAGAGAACGCATTAATCACAATAAAACATATGTTTATAGTTATTCGAATCTTTTTGAATTTAGTGCGCAAATCTGATGATTTCAATAACGTAAACATTATTATTTGTGAAAAAATGTCCGTACGTTAGCCTTCAAATAATAAGCAAATTAATATGAGCAAATGTGCATGTATTTAATACACTCAACATTGAACTACTTTTATTTATTATACTATGCGTAATTGTATGACATATCTTGATTGGTCGTTAAAACTGATATAGCGTTCACAATACTCACATGGTATTTTAAGTTTATCTGACGGATAAAATGATGAAATCAGTTAGTTGATCCCGCACTTGTTAAGCACACGGTATTAATACACTAACTAAATTGGAAAATCAATTTTTCGCATTCATTTGAATTTAGTATGCAAAAAATTATCGATTCACTAAATTGGCATGTTAAAAACTCGAACTTAAGTTGATTTCGGTTTATTCTAACTTTAACTGTAAGACGGTCTTTGTTGGGTTTGTTTATATGCGTAGTACTGTATACGCTTACTAGGATTACTTTTCTGTCAAAAAGTAAACGTACAGCGCGTTCATGAGTACCATAATCCTATAATATGATTGTCCAATTTTTCTATGCTGAACTTCACACGACCTGGAGCAAAGCAGATTTGACTGCTGCTTAACGTCTTTATCAATAATATTTAGACACAAATGACAAAAACGCGAAGTTCACGTGTGTAAACGTTCCCAATATCTTTTTCCTTTATATTTAATAAAGAAGTTTAGTGAAAGCAGAGCTCAGGATATGATTTGTTATTATTTCATATTTTCCCAAGCAACGCGGAATTCCGCAAACAAAATGAAAACCCTTTGCTTTTTGAGATCACCAGAACGTATGCAATGAAGAAGAGTTGAAATCGCGAAATATAGGACCGGATTCTACTTATGTGTACTTGTATATGCTTCATATAAAGCATAATTAATTATATACGAAAGAAAATTCATCACTGACAAATTTGGGACATGAAGCGACAGATTCCTATTTAAACTAATCCTTGTAGCAAAAAAACCAAAAGCAATTTATTCAAAATACCAATATTAATATCATATCATCATCTGACTCTTCGTTCCTTCATAAAAACCCATCGAATCATAACTAAACGAGCTATCTCTACTTTCACTCCCCTCTTCTTGAATTCCCTCTTCTTGAATTCCCTCTTCTTGAATTCCCTCTTCTATATTCACTAACACGTTCTCACCCTCTTTCTAATTATTTGCACCAGCACATTCTCTGCCCTTCTTTCTAATTGCATTCTCATACGTCTCTTCCACATTCACATTCACTAGCACCTTCTCTACCCTTCTCTCTAATCCCATTTCCTCCACATTCACTAATACATTCTCTATCTTATTTTCTAATTCCATTTCCTCATATTCCTCTTCCATGTCCACCAACACATTCCCTAACCCTTCTTCTCATACTCCTCTTCTACGTGAACCAATACACTTTCTACCCTTCTTTCCAATTGCCTTCCCTCATCTCCCTCTTCTGCGTTAACCAATACACTCTCTCCCTCACCTTCCTTTTCCCTCCCTCTAATTGCTCACCCACTACATCGTATTTAATTTCTTTTTTGGACTCCCGACATCACAAAGTCGCTCAGCTTTGCTTTTACGCACACGCACCACAAGGGGTTGCCCTGCCGCATCATCGTTTCATGCGTCGACAGCGGGAACATGCGAGAGGTGGCTTGTCAAGGGCACGCGGTAACTCCTTAGGGGCTTTGGGTGCCTGAGAACATTTGTGAGCATAATAAATTAGTTATGAGAGCGAGTATTAAAAGAAAGCATGGTGTATTAGGATAGATAATTACATGGCTGCATCGTTTTGGTGTTGGCTCCATCTTCTATAAGCTAGCGTATAGATCGAAATATAATCGTTACATAAATTAGTTCCATAAACAAAAACCCCATCCAAGAAATACTTCGCAAACTCCCCAATATTCTTTGTTATGATACAGTTCAGTCACGATTTCCTTCTTTCCCCAATATACTTCAGATCCCAACTTTCACTCTTTGTATATGTCAATCAGCAATCGCACTGGCATATTTCTGCCATTAAGATAACATTCCATATGACGTAATCCTTAGAACGACGGACTGTACAATTGAATATGTCGTACTGAAAGTCGCATACGAATGTTGCGCCTATGTTCGACAGACAGTAAGGGAGAGAGATAAGATAATGTGCGTAAACAGCGTGGATTTATATTATTGTGATAGTAAGCAGTATCAATTCCTCTTAAGTACGATCTCATATTCATATTGAAAGTCACGCTCCCTATCTGCCTCCCGCGGTATTTGCAAGGTTAGACCAACATTCTACGGTATGAGAGAATGAAAGTGGGATTAGGTCAGATGGAAAGGAGTAAGTAAAGGGAATAAGAGGATGAAAATGAACGAATGGCAACTAACCAAACATACTACAATCAACGATATCTACAACTAATCACAATACCAAACTCAATATTCGCAATCCTAATACCTGATGACACGAGTTAGATGGCACCAATACGAAATCGCCAATGCGTTGCTCTGTCTGAGTGCGCTCTCTGGGATAAAATATTTCTTTGTTCGAGAGGAGAACGTGAACACAGAATTAGCAAGTGATAAATATGTTAAATGTGTGATAACAGAGTTGCTAAATCTATTTGTGTTGTGACATACTTCCAAATCGATATTTTGTCCATGTAATGGGCCACTTTGTCTTTATCACCTCTTCCAACCAGATACCACGCGATGCTCCTACAACAGAAAAAGTATATTATATTAGCCTTACGATTGCGCCGCGTTCCCTCTGAAATTTGAGCAATGCTCTTCAGCATGAACCATGAGATTATGCCCAATGCAGCGCACATGTCTTTATGGGTCGATGTTCTGTGGGAAATCAAATGACGAGCGGTTTTGCATGCATTGAATCGGATAAACGTCATTACAGGGCTAGTGGACATCGCTACCTTGTTCTTTCGACTCCTATGTACGCATCAGATTCTTTGTTCTGAGTTTTTGTTGGAATATACGCTAACATCATTAAATACAAGTTGTTGACCTGACACAAACATTCATCATTGTTATATTTCCCCCATCATGCCATCACACTTCCTTCTCGATATCTAAAACTCACCCATCATGTTATTCTTTCCATTATAGCGGAAGAATACGATTAACAAGATTAGACCATTCTTTGGCCATATGTATTTCCCGTATAACAATCCCCGCAATCGATCCGAGGGATGAGTGTAGAATTTCTGCACATAGTCAAGATACTCGCCTAAGAACATGGTCTTGAGAGTATGTCACAGGCTTCGATTGCTGGTTGGAAAGAAAGTAAGTGTAATCAATGAGTATGATAAGAGCAGTAGAAGTAAATGTTAAACAAGCTGATAAAGCTACCGCTCTGTGATGTTATATGCAAAATATGCACAAAATCGTGCGATGAAACAAATAGACATATCTCGCTTCCAAACCAATTCCCACCCTTCCACTCGGGATTGTTGTACCTCAGTTGGGGACCTGTCCTCAGTTCTGGACTGAGACAACTGAGTTCTGGACTGAGTGACTGAGACAGGTCCCAAACTCACAATACCAGTTCGAAATGTCATTGTTCGCGGCGTGATGAAAGAGAAAATGGAGCAGATACCTCAGTCTTGTCACAATGTCAAAGTTCCTGGATACGTTATTGTATGCAGGCCATAGTTTCAAATGTCGTACATTTATGATTAAAAGATGCTCCGCATTCCAATAATGTCTGATCTTTCTGCAATGGTAAATTGCTAAAGTCACTAATACTTTCGGATACGACAAATAACATGCAATAATCAATAAAGTCTTACCATTGCACCGCATCATGACAAAAGTTTTGAACGTTTCGAACATTTAGTTATATGCATGTAAATGATCATCGGTAATCACTTGACCAAATCGCCGCGCCGTTCACAGCTTTAACGATAAAGACTTGCTACAAAAACTAGCAACAAAACATGGCCTCAATTGTCTTTGATAAAAATTGGTTAAGGAGATGTATTGAAGACGAGAGTATCCGGTTTTACTCTTTCGATGATTTTATTAATTGTGTGTGCATCGGTCACGGAGCGTATGGTGTAGTTTTCAAAGCGAATGCGAGGACACTTGGTAGAACGGTTGCGTACAAGCTTATTCATTCACAAGATGAAGATGAGACGTTCGAACTGTTTGTGAAAGAGGTTGGTAATTATAATGATAATGTTTATGCTTGTATGTTATTGTTTACTTGAATTATACATTTATACTTTAGCTGAAGATTCATCGCAAGGTCGATGACCACCTTAACATAATTCGATTCCTTGGAGTGAGTCAGGGTAAGCATTTAGTAGATTTAGTGTACGATGATGTGACATTAACATAGTCTTCGTTACTATTTAAATAAAAGATCCGGAAAATAAATACGTGATGGTCTTTGAATATGCGGATGACGGTTCATTGCGACGTTATTTATCAAACGCATCTGTTGAACTGGACTGGCCTATGAGATGCAGGCTTGGTACCAATATCATTGACGGACTACGATATCTTCATGAACTTGATATTTTACATAAAGATCTGGTATAATACTTTTATAATATTATATTGTTTAGCCTATTCCAGTGTTCAACGCATTAATTTACAATTTTGTTATTAGTCTTCTCACAATATTCTGATTCATGCCGGTGTGGCGAAAATAACAGACTTTGGCTTGTCAGATCAGATCTTACAGCAGAAAAGCCATTCAGATGTTCAAGGAACTCTTCCATATCTTGACCCAAGATGCTTAAATGACCCTTCTACTAGGCGAGATAAAAAGTCAGATATATTTAGTTTTGGGGTGTTATTGTGGGAAATCTCTGGTGGAAAACAACCATGTGATGGACTCCACAATTATCACAAGATTTTGACCTATAGGTTAAAAGGTAGTCGAGATGCTCCAGTTTTAGGAACCCCTGAGGAATATGTCACACTATATTCAGCATGTTGGGATGATATGGCTGAGAAAAGACCATCCTGTGAGCAGATTTCTGATAGATTAGGCATGATATCTCAACTTGTAATGCCTTCAGAACATCCATTTTCTGATGTGTTATCAAATAAATATCAGGAAGAATTATCAAAGGGAAAAAGTCAAGATCAGATTGCTAACTCAATTAAAGACTGGTTAGTATATAATGGATGGCATCAACAGGATTATCTTCTTGTCAAAAGACTCAAGGACCATATTGACTGTGGGCAATGTTTTTGGTTAATTGGTTTTTTCTATGCATATGGAATATCAGTTGGAAAGAACCTTAATCAAGCAGTTTACTGGTATAAATTGGCAACAGAAAAAAATAATGCTTTTGCACAAAATAGTCTTGGTCATTACTATCAAGCAGCTGAACAACAACATGCTAATGCACTAAATAACCTTGGCATTTGCTATTACCATGGAATTGGAGTGAAAAAGGATGTTAAAAAGGCAGTTGAACTGTACCAAAAAGCAGCTAAACAAGGAGATGCTAATGCGCAAAATAGCCTTGGCCATTGCTATGCCAATGGAATTGGAGTAGAAAAAAATGCTGAAAAAGCAGTTGAATTATACCAAAAAGCAGCTGAACAAGGAGATTCTGAAGCACAGGATAACCTTGGGTATTGTTATCAATATGGAATTGGAGTAAAAAAAGATGTTAAAAAGGCAGCTAAGCTGTATCAAAAAGCAGCCGAACAAGAACATGCTAATGCACTGAATAACCTTGGTGATTGCTATCAGCATGGAATTGGAGTGGAAAAGGATGTTAAGAAGGCTTTGGAACTGTACCAAAAAGCAGCTAAACAAGAAGATGCTAATGCACAAAATAACCTTGGCCATTGCTATGCCAATGGAATTGGAGTAGAAAAAGATGCTAAAAGGGCAGTTGAGCTGTATCAAAAAGCAGTTGAACAAGGAGATTCTGAAGCACAGCATAACCTTGGTGTTTGCTATCAGCATGGAATTGGAGTAGGAAAAGATGCTAAGAAGGCAGCTAAACTGTATCAAAAAGTAGCTGAACAAGAACATGCTATTGCACAGAATAATCTTGGTCATTGCTATCAACATGGAATTGGAGTAGAAAAAGATGAACAAAGGGCAGTTGAATGGTATCAAAAGGCAGTTGAACAAGGACATGCTCATGGACAGAGTAATCTTGGTGATTACTATGCCAATGGAATTGGAGTAGAAAAAGATGCTAAAAGGGCAGTTGAGCTGTATCAAAAAGCAGTTGAACAAGGGCATGCTGATGCACAGCATAACCTTGGTGTTTGCTATCAGCATGGAATTGGAGTAGGAAAAGATGCTGAGGCAGTTAAACTGTATCAAAAAGCAGCAGAACAAGAACATGCTATTGCACAGAATAATCTTGTTCATTGCTATCAACATGGAATTGGAGTAGAAAAAGATGTTAAAAAGGCATTCAAACTGTATCAAAAAGCAGCTAAACAAGGACATTTTATCATGCTAAGTCTAATGATAATACTAACAATCATATTAATATTAACATGCTATGTCCAAATGAGTAATATACAGTACAACCTTGGCTATTGCTATGAAAATGGAATTGGAGTAGAAAAAGATGTTAAGAAGGCAGTTGAATTATATCAAAAAGCAGCTGAACAAGGACATGCTGATGCACAGCATAACCTTGGTGTTTGCTATCAGCATGGAATTGGAGTAAAAAGAGATGCTAAGGAGGCAGTTAAACTGTATCAAAAAGCAGCTGAACAAGGAAATGCTAATGCACAAAATAGTCTTGGTTTTTGCTATCAATGTGGAATTGGAGTAGAAGAAGATAAACAAAAGGCAGTTGAATGGTATAAAAAGGCAGTTGAACAAGGACATGTTCATGCACAAAGTAATCTTGGTGATTGCTATTATTATGGAATTGGAGTAGAAAAAGATGCTAAGAAGGCATTTAAACTGTATCAAAAAGCAGCTAAACAAGGATATGCTATTGCACAGGATAACCTTGGTTACTGTTATCAACATGGAATTGGAGTAGAAAAAGATGAACAAAAGGCATTTGAACTGTATCAAAAAGCAGCAGAACAAGGATATGCTATTGCACAGGATAACCTTGGTTACTGTTATCAATATGGAATTGGAGTAGAAAAAGATGAACAAAAGGCAGATGAACTGTACCAAAAAGCAGCTGAACAAATAAATGCTCTATCTCATGTACAGTATAATCTTGGTATTTGCTATAAGTATGAAATTGGAGTAGAAAAAGATAAATTAAAGGCAGTTGAATGGTATCAAAAAGCAGCTTAACAAGGAAATGCTCATGCACAGTATAATCTTGGTATTTGCTATCAGTATGGAATTGGAATAGAAAAAGATGAACAAAAGGCAGTTGAATGGTATCAAAAAGTAGCTGAACAAAGACATTTGGTGCACTGATAATAGATAACCTTGGATATTGTTATGAAAATAGAATTGGAATAGAAAAAGATAAAAAGGCAGTTGAATGGTATCAAAAAGCAGTTAAACAAGGACATGCTTATGCACAGAACAATCTTGGTCATTGCTATCAGCATGGAATTGGAATAGAAAAAGATGTTAAAAAATTGTATTGGTTAGAACTAATACCATTTGGGGATATAGTATCACAAATTACTTTTCCATCATATAATCAGGATTTTTAAATTTTCCAGAGCAACTCATTTGTTTAAATTTTCAAATTTGGCTTTATACACTGTTCCATGACAATTTCTTCAATTTATTAAAGTCAGTATATTGCATATTGCTTATGTTTTATGACTTTGCATAATCCTGTCTAGTACTGCAACATGTGTCACTGTAGAAGACCAAATAATAGCCTCAAGTAATACCTATTATTAGGAGTCAATATCTCTGTGGTGATCATTAATAAGATATTTTGAGTAAATAATAAATCATGTTAGTACAATGATCATAATAAATATACAGTCAAACCTCGTTATACCAATATTTCGTTCCGCCGGTGAAGCGGGGTATCGGTAGATTGGTTTTTTTTCTTTTCTACCGATAATATATGAGTGATACGCGAAATATTGATTATCAGGGTTGTTAGCGGTGTCAAGCTTTATTGTTTACTTGTATAGACTAACAGTTGCTAATAAAATTATCAATAGATGTTTGCTTTTCTTTGAAATAGAGTGAGTTAATTTAATATAACTCGTTGTCCCTTCGCTAAAGGCTTACTATTTCCTCACGATAAAATACAGAAAGATATCAACCAATCAGAATGCTTGACATCATTCCCAATTTAGTAATGTT